AGATGCAACAACTCTTCGCAGTGCCAATGAGTCGAGCCGATCGGAAAGGACTCGGTCGTCGACGATTCGAGCCGCTCTGCGCTGGATGCGGTCAAGTGGAAGGAGCTGGCACTGGGGAGCCCCAGCCGAGAGATGGGAACAGTATTCCATGTGAGGCCGAACCTGCACCTTGTAAAGTTGCAGGCGTTGAGCTGGCATGAAATACTGTCCCGCTCCGCTGAGCACGCCAAGCTTTTTAGAGGCCAATTTGGCCTTCTCTTCCAAGTGACCAGGAAACTGCACGTCACTCGATATGTCGACGCTGAGGATTCCGATACTGGCTGAGGCAACAAGGGGATTACCTTGAAACTGAGGAGATACGACAAAGGGGTTCTTTTTAGCGGTAAACGCGCAAACTTGTGTCTTCTGAGGATTAAACTGGACTAGATTTAGTCGCCCCCAATCCGAGACTTTGTCCAGCAAAGACTCGACTTCAGACACAAATTTGTTCCGGTACTCGGCGACGTTTTCCCGAGAAATATTGGCACGGCCGGTGTATAGAGCATCACCAGTACTGTCATCCGCATAGCAATGAATGCTACCGGTTTGCAAGATATCATTGATATGCAGAAGAAACAGCGTTGGTGATAGCACGCAGCCTTGTGGAACACCAGCGTTAATAGGCTTGTAGTCGGAGCATGCACTGTCTACAACCACCTTGATGCTCCGATCTGCAAGGAAGCTGGTGATCCAGTTGCACAATTTCTCGGGAAGCCCATAGGAAGGGAGCTTCGAAAGAAGCGCTTTGTGCCAAACCCGATCGAAGGCCTTCGCAATGTCCAAACTAACGGCCAACGCCTACCCCTTGGACTCAACTGCCTCCGCCCATCTATGAGTCAGGTAGACCAGAAGATCACCAGCTGATCGACCCCGACGAAAACTGTACTGGCGGTCACTAATCAGCTGGTGATCCTCAAGGTACCGCATGAGCTGGCAGTTAATAACGGATTCCATTATTTTGGAGAACAAGGGGTGGGGTTTTTTAGGGATCGGGTGGACAAAAGCTGTCTTCCATGATTTCGGGACTACGCCTAGGGAGTAGGAGTACCGGAAAAGACGCGTTAGAACCGGTGCCAACTCCGGAGCACACGTCCTCAGCACAATTGGGGGGATTCCGTCAGGCCCACTCGACTTGTGGATGTCAAGGGAGAGGAGTGCTCTGCGAACCGAGCGCTGCGAGAACCGCACATCCGGCATGGAGCACTCACACCGCGGGATGGTCGGCGGTGTGTTCCCCCCGTCATCAACAGTCGAGTTGGACGCAAAAAGGGAGCCTAAAAGGTCGGCTTTCTCTTTTGCATCGTTGGCCAGTGAGTCGTCTTCTTCTTAATTATGGCTTACAGAAATTCCCTTGGACAGCCTTGGCGAGAGACCAGAATGCACGGGTTCCCGAAGAAAGGCGAAGTAGTTTCTCGCCAATTCTGCCTATGTGCTCTGACTTTGCCTTGGCAATAACTCTTTTGAAGGACCTGGAGGCGAAGTTATACTTCTTTTTAAGTTTGCTGGTGTTTACATCCCGAGTCGCCGAAGCCGCAGCCCAGGCTTGATAACACTCCTGCTTACTGCGTAATGCAGTCTTACAGGAGCGACCAAACCAAGGCTGAGATCTGCCTCCGATGGGTACCACAGATGATGGAATAAATAGTTCCATTCTAATAATAGGTTAATAGGATCTACATTATCAATGGGTAAAGAAAAGGAGTCATTGCGAACCCTTTCGGGATCGGGAGGTTCGTCCTCCATTATATTACTACAACTAATATAATGGAGGACTAATATAAACGGCACAACTAAAACACTTACTAATCTACAGATGTTAAAACCAAAACCAAGACAATAAAAATTACTATAGTAACTCAACAGCACTCAATAAAACAATTAATTTAAGCGAAAAACTACGACACTTGTATTTCTCACTTAACCTCAAAGCAAAGTCCAAAACTCCCATTGAATTTGTTTGCTCAATTGTTTGTACTTGAAGCGTAAGTTAGTGTTGTAAGACTTACAATGTAAATAAATGTTTGTTATAATTTTTTACTTAAATAATAAGTGATAATCTAATAATACCATATATATATATATATATATATATATATAAGGTTGCCGACCCTGTGATAGTGGATATTCTTACACCGTCACTGCACAATCCACTTTTCTATGCTGCTTGCCATTGCTATATGGGCGAATGTTTCTAGTGCAAAGTTAAGTTTGTCCTTCAATCCAACTTACTTTTGTTAGAGCAATAGTACTTATTTTTACAAAAACAATTATCAAACTGTTTATACTGTTATATATTACCCTATTGTATATAAACAAATCTCAATAAACAAAGATAAATCTTTGTCAATTCACAGCTTTCGTGAATCTGAATCCAAAAGTTGTTGAGACTCGATTCTCGGGATAGATGAACTATGTACATTCTTATTTAAGTTTACGGTGAACCCTCACTTTTGTCCGGTGTTTATTGTTATTTGAAGTTGTTGTCAGGAAGATGCTGCCCCCCGATCTCCTGTTTCAGTTTCCCTCTGCCCCTTTTTACGACATCTGCAGGATGGCAGGGGTAGTATGGGTTCTCCTACTCCACCACTATAGTGGCTTTTTCTCTTATTTGAAAAAATTATTTCCTTTCAGTCAGTACCAAAACCGAATAAGGTTAGAGGTGAGATTAAATTCACACCAATTTATCATATAGATATCTGGCCTGTAGAGTGTGATATAGACAATGATTGCAAGGACGAAATTTTTTGCCTTGATGCCGTTAAAGTTGAGATTTTCGAATATGAGAATTCCAAACTTGAAGAAAATGAGAATCATGAAACAGGTAAGATACACCCCTTTTCTTGATATTATTAAAATAAGGTACAATTTACCTTATGGCAAGTGGTTACTGTAGCCCGTAGACACAAAATAAAGAGGGCTTCATGTGTAGTGTAATGATTTACTGATTTGCCTTTGTCTAAATTCAAAGTGCATGTCAGAAGCACTCTTATTAATACATTAAAAAAATATTTTTACCCTGTCAGCTAGTATGTATGTCACTAAGATACATACTGGTAAGCAACCAATTATCTTTGCCATCTTCTTAGTGTCAGTACTAGGTGGTGTGACTGCATGTTTGCCTAGGAGTTGATCTATTTGTGCCTGCCCAGATGGACTCCTCCCTCCTCCTCTTACCTATTTCTGCCGTCAAATAGCAGTGCGTGCACTGCTGTGTTCCATTCTGATGGGTATAGAGTCAGAATAATCACAGGCTGTGGGTCATTCCATTTTAGTTGTGGTAGAGCCATGCTGCATCTATATTAGTAGTGTAGTTATAGCACGAATGGGTCAGCTCGACCGGGGAAAGACCACGCTCTCACAGAATACCAGCGTAAAATAGCAGCTTAACACTGCTGTGTTTCGTATGGTGATTGTAGAGAACCGGATATCCTTTTTACTGGAAAAGAGGCATTCCTTCGTAGTCCTCATGGGTGACAATGCATCTGCATTTTGATTCTTTATTGAGGACAGATGTAGATGTCTATGGGTCACAGCGACCATTTACCATAGTGTGGACTGTGTGCTCGTTTGTCACCCTATCCTATAAAAATTAAAATGAAAAGATGAGCGCATTGCATCATTAAATCTTCATCATTACAACCTTCACAAGTCCACTGCTGAACATAGGTCTCACCCACGGAATGCCACAAAGCACAGGAATCCATCGCCTTCCTGCATTTCCTACCAGGTCTCATTCCATCTAATGGAGGGCCGCCCTACACTTTGACTACTGGTACTAGGCTGCCACTCGTAAAACTTCCTCATTCATTGTCATTTCTTCGAGCTATGTGGCCGGAATTTCAAATTTCAAAGAATTAATTCAGCATTTGAAACCATGATGTTGAAAGTAACTACAACAGAAGTGAGACGACGGGCCCGTGCTTGTGTTAGTAATCGCATCAATTATTTTGAGCATCAACAAATAAATAATTAGAATTTTTATTAGTCTGCCTAAAAATTTAAATTTTCTACCTCAATCTGGTTTTAGGGGACAATTGAAAAATTTGTAACAAATGCGTGTAAGTGATACCTCAAATGAAAGAGCATGTTTTTAAAAAGGTTCGAACAGTAAAAGTACCACCAGTTTTTTTAACGTAGTGTCAATAATGTTTATTATTTAAAATGTTAATTATGTTTCTTTAAATCGTAGAAAATTTTTGTGAACTTAGTGTCTGTACAAAAATATGTCTGATGACACAGATGCTGAGACTATGTTTTCTTAGATTTCTCATTCATTACTTAAATTTAAAAAAAACAGACATTAATTAAATTGGCAATTATTAGCAATTAACTGTAAAATTTTTAGTTTTATCACCAAAAACAAAAAGTATAGTCAGACTGTCTAAAATAACTATGGCCTAAATGATCTTCTTCAATCAACAAGTCAATCTTCCAGTCATTCTGTATAATGCTTGTCCCGTGTGCGATTCGAAGCACCTATTATTAGATTAATGTAGGTAATTGTAACATGGTGAGAAGAACGTCATCATTGTCATTCGAATTTAGTTTCTCTACCATTCTTTCCCTCCAAAAATGAATATGAGAGACATTATTAAAAGTAAAATACTTTATATCTAGCAACATTGTATAATTATGTAATTTTATAATTTATCTATTTCTCCCTGGTTGACTGATAAAGAATGCGTTTAAGGTGTCTTACAATAAAAAGTTTTATTTATAATAAATTAAATGTTCAATTCGTGTGTATTTCAGAACCATACATCATACCGACAAATCATTTTTCAAAAGCGTCTGAGAGCAAGATTAAATCAAATTCTACTGATTGTAACATAAACGATGTTCGTAAAGGAAACCTCGATTTAGAAAGCCCTACTATTAAATCAAAGCCTAAAGTCAAAAAAGATAATCAACCAATTAATAAAAAAGGAAAGCATCCTGCAAATATTATGAGAAAGAAAATATTGAAACAAAAGAGTGTAAATATACTTACGAAAAAAACTTCAGGGGCATCAACAAAATACATTTTTGAATGTGATGGTTGTAGAAAAAAATTTTCAACAAAAGACATTCTCGCCAAACACATTTCATACAGTCATAAGACGCAAAAGAACCAAAAGAACATCACTGCAGTTCGGACACAAGTTGAACAAACTCCAGTACCACAACTAACGGAAATATTTAATTGTGATATTTCCGAATTTAAAACAACTCAAAAACGTTGCATTTTGGCACATCTTAACGCGCACGTCGCTGAACAAGTGTACTGTTGTAATAATTGTGATTATAAATGTATTAGAAAAGATAATTTGCAGAGACATATGAAAATACATACTGGAGAAAAACCTTTTTCATGTAATATCTGTGAGTATCAATGTATTCAAAAAAGTGATTTGCAAAGGCATATGAAAATACATACTGGAGAAAAACCTTTTTCGTGTCTTATCTGTAAATATCAATGTATTCGTAAAAGTCATTTGCAAAGGCATATGAAAATACATACTGGAGAAAAACCGTTTTCATGTAATATCTGTGAATATAAATGTATTAGAAAATATGTGTTGCAAACACATATGAAAATACATACTGGAGAAAAACCTTTTTCATGTAATATCTGTGAGTATCAATGTATTCAAAAAGGTGATTTGCAAAGGCATATGAAAATACATACTGGAGAAAAACCTTTTTCATGTAATATCTGTGAATATAAATGTATACAAAAAAGGAATTTGCAAAAGCATATGAAAATACATACTGGTGAAAAACCGTTTTCATGTAATATCTGTGAATATAAATGTATTAGAAAAGATGTGTTGCAAACACATATGAAAATACATACTGCAGAAAAACCTTTTTCGTGTCTTATCTGTAAATATCAATGTATAAAACAAAGTCATTTGCAAAAGCATATGAAAATACATACTGGTGAAAAACCTTTTTCATGTAATATCTGTGAATATAAATGTATAGATAAAAGTAATTTGCAAAGGCATATGAAAATACATACTGAAGAAAAACCTTTTTCGTGTCTTATCTGTAATTATCAATGTATAAAAAAAATTTATTTGCAAAAGCATATGAGAATACATACTGGAGAAAAACCTTTTTCGTGTCATATGTGTGAATATCAATGTATTCAAAAAAGTAGTTTGCAAACACATATGAAAACACACACTTGAGCAGAACCCTTTTTGTGAGAGATCTGGTAAAATATGTGCAATATTATGTAAACGTGTTTTATATAAATATAAAAGTATACTAGATAAAAATCCATTTGTCATGAGTTCCTTATGTAACTGTAGAACGAGTAGAAAAACCTTTCCGTGCTTTATGTGCTAATTGAAACTGCATTTACTCTGAAGAAGCTAATTCAAAAACCAAAGAAGCAACCAAGTGAAATCGAACCTTGAAATATATACCGAGTGGTTAGTGGAAACAGACCAGACTTCATGTTTTTTTTTTAATTTTATTTAATACATACTAGTTTGTTTTTATTTATTCGTTTCGACATTTATCGTTACAGTCTATAAAAGTCCGCTGCTCAACATAGGCCTCCCCAACGGATTGACTCATAGGGGGGATATTTGCCATAGTTGCCATGCATGTTGGGTTGGCAACCGCGGTTTTTTATTTTTATTTGTTATTAGAAAGACGCTGTTGCCCATCTTCTGGTTTATTTCCTCCGTCGCCTGGATATAATATATAGATGTGCCGTGGGTGCGGTAGAGGCGACAGAGAGAAACAAATTAATAGGCTCTCTAACAAGAACACAATAAACGTCGAAACGAAAAAAGGAAAAACATTAGCAATCAATTAAATAAAAAAAAACATGGTCTGGTCTGTTTCCACTAACCTCCCATTTGTTTCATATTTGAAAGTTTATTTTTTTTGGTTTTTGAATCAGCTTCTTCGGAATAAATGCAGTTTCAATTAGCACATAAGGCACGGAAAAGTTTTTCTACTCGGTCTATTATTCCGTACAAGATGGCTTTTGTAGTCGAGTTATTAATTCATTTCATATTTACACTGTAAAATGTCCAGACTGAATTCGGAGTGAAACTGAAACATGAAACTCCTGCCGTGGCAGCTAACTATAAATTAAAGTGAAAGACATTTACATCACTACTTTTGTTTTTTTTTAATCTTAGGTTTACTTTGATCTTATAGATTATCTTACGCTAATGAAGGAAATGATTTTGTTATTTATGTTAACGCACGGACATTGTTTTTATTAGTTTTACCTTGACTTGTAATAAAATACTTTGCAGTTTAAGTACTGTAAGGCAGTTTTCTTGCAGGGGCTTTGTTTAGGTTAGTTAGGTGTTGTTGTAAAGTGAAATGTATCTTCACGATTGTATGAACTTTTTGTTAGTTAGATATAGATTTCAATCCCTCCAACGTATTCTCCTTACCGTGTAGTGGCGATGTCAGAATACCCACTACCCTATAATATCTTCCCGTAGGTGTGGTAAGAGGCAACAGAGGGAAACTGAGAAACGCTTGCCGCGTTAGCGTGGCAACTATGGCAAGTAAGCAATGACACAGAAACGGTACCTCCGGTGGAGGTTCGGTTGCCACTTAAAGACGACTCGACCTGGCAACATTTAATGCACGCACCCTGAGGACTGACGAAAAGATCCTGGAGCTGGAAGAAGAGATGCGAGTTGCGTTGGGATATTATAGGATTATCTGCGGTCCGAAGAGAGAGGGAGGACATGGTAAACCTAGAATCCGGCAACTTGTTCTATCACCGGGATGGCGACCATCTGTCCCAAGGAGGTGTCGAATTTATCGTCCACAAGTCTCTCGTTAATAACGTTGTAAAGATTGTGTGTCGACGAGGGTTGCGTACCTTATACTCAGAATCACCAAACGTTATTCGTTGAAGGTCATACATATTTACGCACCAACCTCGGCACCATAGATTACTGTACGGCACATTCCGATGAGGAGGCGGAGGAAATGTGTGAGGATATCTCTAAAGCCACGCATTCCGCAAAAATCTACTATATGGTGTTAATGGGAGACTACAACGCAAAACTAGGCACAAGAGGGAACGTCGAGCTGAGGGTAGAGACATTTGGAATGGGGTGACAGGACCCAACGGGCCAGCACGACTTCATGGAGAAAGAGGGGCTCTTTATGATGAACTCTTTCTTCCAGAAGCGGCCCCACAGGAAGTGGACCTGGTCTAGACCCGACGGTTCGACAAAAAATTAGATTGACTTCATTATGACGACTAGGCGGCAACGTACGTACGTAACTTTGACAGCGTACAGGCAACTGAACAGACAGATCTCCAAAGGCATGCGGCGGAACTTACGCAACTTCAATACAGCTCGTATTGAAGAAGTGATGGAACGGAAGCAGAGCTCTAAAGTCTTTGCTAGAAATCTTTCTGCCATAAAGAGCCAGCTGTCGAAGCTGAAGACTGACTGTGGTGGCGTCGTTTCCGGGACACCTGAGATTTTGAGTGAGATTAAGAGGTTCTTTGGCTAGCTATACAAATCATCGTTGGAATCACACGCAAGTGTGAGTAACGATCCAAAAGCAAGTCATATCCGACACTAATCCGATGATATTCCTGACGTCAGTCTGAGCAAGATTAGAATGGCTATCCAGCACCTAAAAAATGGCAAGACCGAGGATGGAATTACAGCGGAGCTTCTGAAAGCGGGTGGAAAACCCCCAGTCCTTCAGAAGCTCTTTAATTCCGTCCTCCATGGTGACACTACACCGGAGGCGTGCAGCAGAAGTGCGGTGATCTTGTTCTTCAAGAAAGGTGACAACGCTCTCTTGAAGAACTACAGACTGATTTCTCTTCTGAGCTGCGTCTACGTGTTGTTTTCGAGAGTCATTACGAATCGTCTCGCATGCAAACTCGATGACTTCCAGCCTCCCGAACATGCCAGTCTCCAAAAAAGCTTTAGCACCATAGACTGTGTAGACTTCTGTACAATTTGCCGAAGGGTATTATGTATGTACAGTATGCTAGAGTTCATGTCCACCAGGGCCAGAGGCGACGCGCGGGGCATTTCGTCCCGCTCTCGCCCGCCTAGCCGCATATGTCTGCAGTCGAGTGTTGTCCTTGACGGTTGTGACGCGCGCTTATCGGTTCCGAAAATTTGTCCCTATTGTATTATTTTATTGTGAATAAACAATGACTACTCCACTTCCAGCAAGTTCAGGTAGAAAAAACCTTTTATAATACATAAGCAAGCACGTGAAATGGCGAGAAATGTCCTACAGATGTGTGTCGAAGAGAAAAAGAGAATAAATTCGCTTTTCCGGTTAACAATGCTTTAAGATCGAGCGGCCCGTTACACTGGACTTACTAAAAAAACATTGTCTAGAATTCAAACAGAAGCAAAAAATGGACCTCTCCATTCGCCTTCTAAAAAAGGGAAATCGTGAAATGGAGAAAATGGGGAATTTAAATGTAGATGATTTCGATAGAAGTGTAATACACAGATGTATAGAAGAATTTTATTTGACAAAAAAATTGTTCCCACTTGTCCCAAACTTTTGGCGGCTATCCGGGAAAAAATTGATTTTCCCTGGGGGACTACAAGTTTACGAAAACTTCTAAAGGAAATGGGCTATAAATGGCAAAAATGTCACAACAAGCGAATGATTTTGGTAGAAAGACCAGCTGTTGTATTTGCGCGGTCAAATTATTTGCAAAAAATTCGTCAATATAGAGAAAATGATCGCGATATTGTATTTTTAGACGAAACGTGGGTTGACAATAACCTCACATTTAAAAAGTGTTCGAGAAACTATTATATAGACGCGATACTGACTGACACCAGCTCCACGAACAGGCTGATTCCCGTTCACGCCGGATCCAGACGTGGTTTTTTGAATGGCGCAAAGTTGCTTTTCAAAGCTGGTACTGCTACAGGCGATTACTATGGGCAAATGAACAGTACGAACTTTGAGAAATGGGTGACTGACATGCTCATTCCCAATTTGCCACCATCCAGCGTTGTCGTTATGGACAACGCACCATATCACAGTATTCAAGAAAATAAAGTTCCTACAAAATCAAGCACTAAAACGGTTATGTTAGAATGGCTTACTAGAAATAATATAGAGGCTTCACTAAGCATGAGAAAAGCCGAGCTTTTTTATGTCATAAAACTACATGCACCCAAAGAGAAAACTTTTAAAATGGACCAGCTCATCCGTAGTCACGGACATGAGGTTTTAAGATTGCCACCGTACATGTGCGACTTAAACCCAATTGAGTTAGCATGGGTAAAAATCAAGAGAGTTGTGAGGGAGTACAAGTTAACTCAGATCTAACCCTAACAAGATTAAAAGAAGTAACGGAGATGGCTATAAACCAGGTGACAGAAATAGATTGGTGTGGATTTGATGATCACGTTATAATTTTGGAAGAGCATTACTGGCAATAAGACGGATTATTGGAAAATACGATCGACATATTCGTAATTGAAGTCAGCGACGGCGAAGATACTGATTCCGACTCTGCTTTGTCGGTTGTGAACTCGCGCGCCTACTGTACATACCCTTCGGCAAATTGTACAGAAGTCCGTGGAGTACAATTCGCCACTATGTCTGGCGTATGTGGACTATGAGAAAGCCGTCCGAAAATTCTGTCGAAATTTGGGCGGCGCTACAGTCCCTTCAGCATACCAAGTCGACTGTCGGTATATCGAAGTGCTAAAGTGTTTGTACAGTAGGGCTGCGATGGCTATCTGAGTACAGAACAAGAGTAGGTACTGTTATATGGAGACGGGCTAATTGGTTTTTAAAAAAACAATTATTTAAAACACTAATATTTAATTACAGTATAAAAAGTTTTGAACGTGGTAGAGCCATGCTGCAGCTATATTATGGTTGTAGCACGAATGGGTCGGCTCGACCGGGGAAGGACCACGCTCTCACAGAATACCAGCGTAAAATAGCAACTTAACGCTGCTGTGTTTCGTATGGTGAGTGTAGAGAACCGGAGACCCTTTTTACTGGCAAAGAGGCATTCCATCTTAGTCCTCACGGGTGACAACGCATCTGCATCTTGAGTCTTTATTGAGGATAGATGTAGATGTCTATGGGTCACAGTAACCACTTACCATCAGGTGGACTGTGTGCTCGTTTGTCACCCTATCCTATAAAAAAAAAAATAGATTATATCTTATAAGTTGGTTAGAAT